CAACATTATGAAGTGTGTTCTACAATACTGAGCCTTGTGATGGTGTAAGAACAGCAACAGCAGACCCAAATGATACTTTTCAACCTCAGCCCTTTTGATGCCAGTGGACTCTCTACCTTTGCTCTTCATCCTTTTCCAGTGTAGCCTGGATCATATGTTAATTTATCTCCAAGAGATTAACAAACCGCTGGAGTGGGCCAGTTCTCCAGTACACACCCCATGGTGCTATCTTTATTTACTGGGGAGTCTTGCTATGAGGACATGCTTGAAATAAATAGGCACAGAATTTGCTTTATCTAGACAGAATAAGAGGTAAAACTAGTCAAAAAGAAAAGGCAGTTGATCGCATAAACGAAAGAAAATTGGGGCTTTAATCTAATTCCTAGTACAGAAGTTCCCACATCATAAAAACAATTGCTGTTTTCACGCATTTTGGAACTTTTTTTGTACACATGATCCTGAAATTAATTGGATGAGTCACCTGTATCTGTAGAAATTTGGCATTTGTGCAACACTGGCCAAAAAATGAAGGAAATCAATTGGGTAAGCATGTCCCCCCTAAGCAGATCAGGCTGCGAAATACATTTCTTCATACTCTTCCTCTAACAACCCTAAGAGAATCTTTTCTTAGTTCCTTCTCTTCCCCTCTTTTTTATTTTTTAAGATTGAAACCTGGAAATATGTATCTAAATGTTTCCCAAACCTGTATATTAAAACTAAAAATATATTAGTTTTATAAAAATCTTGGGGTAATTATTTGAAAATGCCTTCAATTTTTTTAAGGTGGCAACAAATAAACTGGTAATCAGGCTGAGAAATAATTCTTGAAAAATGCACATTTTCTCTAAGATAAAAAACCAATTTACTAACAACAAACATTTATTAATTTTTTAATTTTTAAAAAAATTCCTCCTCTTGTCTGAAATGCAACTTTCACAAGACAGGTAGCATGAAATTCACTTTGCATCTATGATACACCCATTCTACAGTTAAACATGTAATTCCAATTACTAGGAATAACTGTAGATCATACTCATCCTTAAATAAATCAATTTTACTAGCATTAGGGAAAAAAAATAATGAACTGGAATAATATTTTCATTTAACCCAGAAGATGCACTTAGGGTTAGATTATAGTGCAATCTCATCAGCATTTGAAGGGTGCCTAGGAAATAATTTTTCATTAGACAGAGATTGTCTATTTTATTCAATTTCACAGGTACATCAATTTGTTTGTTCTTTTTGGTAGTCACTGTGCAACCCCTCAGTTAATTATTGCTAATGTTTTGCAGAATGTGCTGCAGTTAATTGTTATTAGTGTAATTAGTTTGCTAAATATAAGCCAACAATGCACAGTCTCAAGATTTAGAGGGTCTTTTGTGTACACTTTTTGTAAACCCAGAGATCTGAGCTGCATCAGACTGGGGACCATGAGAGTACTAGGTTCACTGTCCAGATGCAGATCTCTGAAGGTATTTGTAAACAAAACCTGTTTCAAAACCACCAAGATTCCTAGGGTTTAAACCCTACGTCAGGCAACTTGAGGTAGGTTTCAATGGTACTGAGCTGATCTGAGATTTGTCATCAAACCAGAGAAGAACTAGTGTCAAAATCTTTTTTTAATTGAAATCTGGTTATCATTAGAAATGTGTAATTTTGGTATGGACTATAAACAAGTAAGAGTCAGTAGAAAATTTACTCTTATTTTATTTCATTTCAGTTTAATTCCTGGTTCTAACCTAAGTTTGGTCTGAACTTGCAGCAAAGTGTATAGCTGTGCTTGATGTCAGACACAACCTACACATAGTCATAAATTAGCATATTGCTCTGAAAACAAAAATAGTTCTATTTTCAGAAGTCTTAGAAGGGATAAATCATTCTAGGGAATCTATAATCATGATACAGAAATCACTTCCCAGGAAAATTTACATATAGCCCATAGAATCATTTCGGTTGGAAAAGACCTTAAAATCATTGAGTCCAACCATAAACCTAACACTGCCAAGTTATAGCTTTGTACATTTTAATTAAAAAGCCACTACTACCTGTTTGTTCCAAACTCTGGGGATCGGGGTGGTTTTTTTTTTTCTCCTATAAAATACTGGCAGAGATTCCGCCCCCCCTCCTGGCAGTGATTTTGCAATGTGAGGACCCTTAAGAGACAATTCTTAAATTATTTGCAGTTTACACATCATTACCCTGAATGTGGTGGGTATCAGATTTAGATGTGCTGTTTATATCTTCTATTACCAATTCTTGTAAAATGTCTAGTACACTGAATAACCCAAATAACAGGAGGTTGGCTGTCCTCTGGGATTTTCTGCCATCTTGGAACACAGAACTGAGAGAGACAAGCCTGATAATCCAAAGCAAGTATTCTATAAACACCAACATCAAAGGAACATCCATTGTTGGTGTCCTCTTCCTCATTCCTCCCTGTCCACACATGCAATCACCACCCTCAGCCCCTTGTAATGAGCCTGCAATTTTCAATGCAAAGACCTCCATACAGACAGTATGGCATGGCACAGTAAAAGAGCAGAAGAAAGTGGGAAACAGAAGATCAAAATGTCCAGGGGATCCCTAGAAGTGAACTATGTCCAGGGCAAAAAGAAACCTTCTAACACTTCTGCGGCTTCGTTCTTAAGGAAAATTCTTTCCAAACCTGAATTATCTAATACTGAAGAAAATGAGAAACAGAAAGGCTTTCATCCGAAAGAGGTTTCCCACTCAGCAACTTAACCCCAGCTGTTACTGCTTTTATCATGACTATAAAGTGAAAGAGGAGGGAGAAGAAGGGGAAAGAAGCCAGGATATTATCAATCCATCACCCCATATATCACTTATCTGTCAAATGCTAAGTTGGAAATTGAACTTTTTTAAAATCTTTCATCCCTATTCTACCCTGACCCTTTTTTACACTTAAATTCATAATTTCCTGGACAGAGTGAATCTAGGTCATTAGAGGAAAGCAGAGCTCATCTTGGAGAATGAAAGTAGTCAGTCAAGCCTTTTCCTGCTTTTAATCCATTGTAAATTAATCCTGCCTATAAAACAGTGAGAATGAATTAATGATTTATGGAAGGACATCATTTTTTCCTTATCTCTCTCAGAATTCTATCAGTTGGATTATCTCAGGATTCTACTGAAATATTTCACGCCCATTCCACATTGGAAGTTCATAGCCAGTAAATGATGAATTGCCCACCTCCTTTCTTCTAAACTCTTAATTCTCAGTTGCTGTTTTTTCCCCCAGAAGTTTCACTTTTGTGAAAACAACAGAAGATTTTAATTAATCACATTGAACGTCATAACTATCCACTTCATCATTTTTTTATTTCTCTAGACCACACAGACACCCAATTCCTCTTGAATAATTGTGTGGTCCTCAGCTTTCGAAATATATCATTACCTTGTGTAATCCACAGATTTGAAGGCTTTATTATCATGAAATCAACAGCTAATTTTTTTCTGAACGAGGAGATTTGAATAAACTTCATTTATGCTTTAAAACTCTTATTTAATAGTAAATGGGAACTCTGAAATTTCCTCAATGTGTATATAAAATCTGACTGTTCTGATTCAGTTATACTATGAATATGGTATAGTTCACAATATCTTTTGTTTCGGTGAATGAGTCTTCAAAATTACATTGTTCTTACAATAATATGTTTGGGAAAAATTGCTGCCATCTTTTGGATGCACTCAGGAAAAAAAAAAAAAAGAAAAAAAAAAGAAGTGACATTTTGCTGAAAGTTCCAGCTGACACAGTCTGCATATCTGCTTTACCATGGAAAAGATAATTTCAAATTGCAGAAAGTACTTTGAGATAACCAATATTTTCTTCTTTCCCATTTTATACAGTGATCATAGCATAACATCTGTGCAAGAATTGTTTGCTTGGTTAAGCAATACTGATGGGAAATAGCTCTCACTGAAAGATGTGCCACTGAAGTTGAAGCCAAACACAACAAGAAAACAGAAAATATGGATACAGAGAGGAAATTATATCCACTCCCAATATTTAATTTTTTGCATTTATACCTTGTCTTGTTTGAATAGGAAATAAAACTTACTTGATCTATACAATTATTATAGTTTAGTGTCACAGCTTATTTATCCTGAAATTTGTTTGGAATCTAGCCTGGATATATTATATTATCCTTTTTTTTGTCTTTTGAATTTCCAGAAGATGTAATCAAATGCTTGTTGTGTGGCCAGCTCAATACACTGGCTTCTGAGACAAACACTGCACATTCAGCAAAGTCTTTTTAAGAACAGAGAATGCTAGTGTCACTGAGAATAAATCAAAGGTGATAATATCTGTGAAAAAGAAAACATTGTCCAGAGACAATAATGACTCCTCCGAAGAGATACCATTGTCAGACACTAGCATATCTTGCCAGCACTGGACAGTGATATTAAAATATGCTGCAAATCTACCTTATCGCCTGGAGTGAGACTCAGACATGCATTCTGTAACTGTCCGGACAGGAGAGGGGACTAACACCAGCTGAGCCATAATGACACTCAGCAAAAAAGTCAAAAGATGTGGGGAAGAAAACAGAGTCACTGCAGGCATCCTCCACGCTTCGCACTGTACAGCTGACTTTGCAGTTAGTTTCATTTCTGCCTGGGCACAAGGACCGGCAGGCCAACAAGTTACATCCACACTATCCAGCAAACCATCACCCCTCACCAAGTGTTAGAGTGACGTGACCGCTTGCTGTTACACTAACAGCAGCAAGCTAACCACTCTCTCCTCACATACAACGGAGTTTAGTTTTAGTTTTACAAAAATATCCAATTAAAAAGGCTGACATTTCAGTCTGTAACAAATTAAGCTGACTCATTGCCCCAGTCACGAATTATAGTCTTTTATCCAAGCCATGTGCAAGAGAAAGAGGAATGAAACCCCTCATTAAACAACGTTCTTGTTCTGTAAACTTTACAGTCCCAATTCACCCTTTCTCCCCAAAAATGCCGTTGCTCAAACTTACCGCTTTTGCCAACTCCCCCTGCTCCTAGCATCACCACCTTGTACTCTCTGGAGCCTGCTGAAGAATTGCTGGAGGAGCTGATCATTTCATTTTCTAGCTCCATCTTGCACGAGGCAGAAGAAGGGAGCAAAAGGGAAGAAAAAGCAACTGGCAGGTGCTTTCTCTGATATCAAACAACTGTAAAAGCTGTGTTAGGGAAAAAAAAAGGCAGAAAGGAAAGGTATCATACAAGAGGTACGATTTAGCAGCCTCACACTCGCTGCTGTGCCTGTGTTAGCTGGAGAAGGTCTCATAGCAACCACTTTAACAGCTTCCAATAAAAATCTCTCTCTGCCCCCTCCCAGCTCTGTATCATTCTCTGTGTTTCTCTTCCTGGACAGAAGCAGTTTTGTGAGACTCAAGAGGCCTGGTACCTCTGGGTGTTGCTGTGTCATTGGAATCAAACTGAGCAGAGACTCCAGAAAAAGAAAATGGATCAAATTACTTAATTATGATGCTTGTTATTCCATGAGGCACTTGCCTGAATCTTAAACAATAATAAAACAGACCAGACAACGTCCTTGCCACTTTGGAGTTAAATATTCATCTTATGTTCATGAAGTTTGCTAGATTTACATTTAATACTATTAGAAGTGAAATAAGCAACAACTTTGAGTCTTTGTTCTTCCTGAAGCTTACTGCAAAGTAGAGAAGTTTTTTAAGGTTAGGTTTGCCCCCAGATCAATTTTCTTTCAGTTGAGTTTGCATCAATTATTTGCAGAAATAAACCAGGTATTTTGAAAAATTTTTTGTTTGTGTTTTTTGGGGTTTTTTTCTCCACACGCAGAATTTCAGAAGGGGATTGGGGCTGAAGGGAGGGGGAAATATCTATTCATCCAGAAAAGATCCACGTAAGCACAGAAGAAAAACAAATTGTTATGAGTATTTCATACTGATATCAAGTGATTTATCTAACCAACCTGGGCAGTCCAAATAAACAAGAAAAGAATAAAACAAAAAGTTTGTGCATGACATCCAGTGTGAAAATCTCCCATTAGAATCATTCAGTGAAAACTTACAATAAAAGACTGCAGCTCTTCACTGATTTCTGATGATGTCCCTAAAAACTCTAGTATATTTAAAGAATGTGATAAGTGATAAAATACTTACCCAGCTTTAACTGTTATGCAATATTTTTGAGGACCAAAAAGCATCTACTGCAAAAGGGGTGGAAAGCAAAACTTGCTCTCCTTTGAAAAGTGCTGGGTTTTCATGACACATGCAGTTATTAAGGAGACAGGGAAATGAAAGCAGGAGAGGCGACTAGTAAAGTAATCAGTCTTGGGAGTCAGATATCTTCATCTGTCCACTCTTCCAATTATTTCACAGAGAGTAAACATAGGGCATTACACAGGAATACAGAATTAAAAGTTGAAAGGGAAAGTAAAATAAAACCAAAAAATCATAACCTGATTAAGGAGATGATTTAAAGAAAAATTAGGAGGAGAGGAAAAGGTATAGAAGAGCACATGTATGAAAGATAGTTTAATGGACTAAGAAAATACATGATTAAAGAGAAGAGATACGTAAGTATGATAATAGAATTATAATTGGAATGGAGAAGGTGAATACTCATTTTCCCTCCTTATAAAAAAATTAGGAAACATCTGATGAAACAGACAGTAGCTGGGTTCAAAACCAAAGTACTTATAAGAGTCATGGCTGACTTAAGGAACCTCTTGCCACTTGAAGTTTCGGGCAGTAGAAATGAACTTGCAATTAAAAAGAATTTAAATACAGAGTAATACAAAATCCACTGTGGACTATTAAAGTCATCACCTCATGCCTAAGAAGTACTTACACCAACAGATCCTGGGAAAACACTGAAGAATCAAAGTATGATGGTCTGTTTACAGCTACACAGAAAAAGAGAACAGGAGGAGAGCCACCGTGTTCTGAGAACTCCTCCAGAATCAGGATCTGCTACTGTTGTCCTACAGGATTTATGTAACAACCATGCTGCGAGCAGCTTTGTACTGCCAAGGCTGGGTGGCTGTATTGATGCATGGATACCAACCTCAGAATTCAGGCGGATTTGGTCTTCAGAGCATAAAATAGGACTTAACCAGGAAATTCTGAATGTAATAATGTGATGGCTAAATATCGAACTTCAGCAGAAAGAGATAGGTAGGTCAGTAAATCCCTGTTGTGATTAGAATTCCATTTTCACTAAAAACATCCTCAAGTGTTCAGCATTGACATATTAGATAAAACTAATAATGATACCAAAACCACTGCTTAGAACAGGTGGGTTTTCCTGGTAATCTCTGACATTAAAATGTCAGGAAAGTGAGTGGTTGTGGGAGTGACTCAAAAAACAAGCTAAGCAAAATATTCCAAAAAATATTAGTGAAAATTATGTATACGTAATGGATAAGTCAGGTTATTTTCTGCTGTTGGTGTTTGCCAGAGAGAAGTGGCAAGTCTTTTTTTGTTTGTTTGTTTAGAGCTGGAAAGTGGGGGAGGAATATAAGAAATGGAAGAAGCTACAAAAGGGAATTATCTTAGTGCAGGAAGCAGAATAAGACAGAACTAAATGGAAAGCCAGCTTTTAAGAAGATCTAGAAAAAATGAAAACAGCATTTTTATGTCTGAAAGAGTGGATTTAAATATTTTTATCTATTGATTGAGGATTAGCGATTTAAAATGCCTACTTTAAAAACAAAGATTCAAGTTTATTAAACTACAATGGTTTAATAAGTATTATTACATTATATAAACACTTGGACAAACATATCCTCTTAACTTTCACAGAGACTTGTCCACAGCCTAAAAAGGTGATACTGCATTCCCATTTATAATGCAGGATTTGTTCTAATTGTTTTTCCTCATAATTTACTTTTGACAAACACTCTACTCTGCCCTATTTTCATTCAATTCAGTAGTGGAGGACAAGTATTTAGCTTCACTCCCATTTATGATAACATCAATGAGTCTTTCTTCTCCCACCTGAGCAGAAAAGTACAAAGTTTTGCTTTCAGTCTCCTGACAACAGAATTAATACTGAGATTTTTTGAAATGACTCAGCTTGAAATGCTTAATAATAGGAAAAAAAAATATAGGGAAAAAATCACCAGTGTAAATGCTTTATGGACAACAGGAAGAAACAGTACAAAATACAACATTTGAACCTGAGATACTAGTGTTGTTACAATGGGTGACTTATTCCACAAGAAAGTCCAACCCTCTATTTTATCTCTTTGTTTCCCTGCTTTAAGAACACATTTGTCATGATGTAAATTCATAGAAAACTCTCCTCAGGCAAACAAGAGCAACAGCAAAGGTGAGAAAAGTGCTTGGGATACTAGCCTGTAATGAATCATTTATTTAACAAATTCAGACTCTATTGCTCTTTACATATCGCTTATGACCGTATAGCAAATCTGCTGATTTTTTCTTTTTTTTTTTTTTAATTTGCTATTCAGACTCACTCTGAAATACAGCAATCAACTGAAAGCAGTCAGTATTCAAAATCTAGCAACTGCTATATTTCAATTCATATTTTGACGGTTAATATTGAAATAGCTGTATGCTTAGATCTATATCTTAGATATTTAGGTCTTAAGCAAAAGACAACGTACAGATAGGTATGTTAGAAGAGAAGTAGATGAGCTTTTTCTAGAGAAAATGCCATTAGAAAACACATTCCATTCATCCTGCATCCCCACTTGCTCTGGGGGTGTTGAATAAAATAATGAGATGTTAATACAACATGTAAATGTTCTGAAATTGTTTCCTAGAGCACTTTATGTTGAGCAGATTTTATCAATTAACCTGGATAAATATTCTTGTCATTAGGCAGAGACCTCATGAGTTTAAAAACTTGAATAGCAAGCAAAATGCAAATCTTGACTGATTCGTGCTCCAGTAAGTGATGGGTTTAAAGGCATGTGAACTATTTAATAATAAACGAATATGCATGATCCCACTGGGGGCCATGCTATTATGGAAACACTGACCACTCTTTTGTCCCTCATGTTTACGTATTAGGCACAACAGAGAGAGGAAATGTAAAAAGCATCCTTCATAAAAAGGCATATAAACCCACCTTGCTAAATTCCTGAAGTGCTGCTATGACAAGAAAGTGCTAATGTAGAAATCATTGCACAGCACTGGAGAACTGATCCAATCTGCTCCTGAGAAAAAAATGCATTTGGCACAGTAGCTTAACTTGATCAATTCTGAGTAAAGCTAGCATAATAAAGTAATTGCCAGGGGACTTGAAAAATTTTAAACTTAATTTTTACATTAACAGATTCAACATATTAATTCTTAAATATGCTGAGCACCTCTGAATCGTATTGCTAAGGGACCTCCAATGAACGACAGAAGCAGCTCTGCATTTTTGGAATTCAGATTCCTACTACAAATACCCAGTGGTTCAATCACCCATCTGCCACAGGCACCCTGACTTCCTTAGGTAATCCCCATCCTTTTTCTATTCTCCAGATTACTCATCTGTAGGATGACTCAGTGTGTCACACATAGTATACTTGATGGGACACTTGACAACCTCCCACCTTGAAGCTGGCTCTTTAGCTCAAGCTGTTAAGACATATGGCTTTTGTTCAGAAGTTCTTATTTCTGTCCCTAGCGTCAGACAGTATACACTGATGGCATGTCCCCTGCCTCTGCTGCAATGCATTTTAATCTAAACCTTATTAGTACGCCGAGTGGCAAAAGCAAATGAAAGCAGAAAAGATGTGAGACTATTAACAGAAAATGTGAAACAACTTCAGAGTCCATAGAGCAAAGGAGCATTGTGGTTTTGGTCTTGTCAAAGAAGGGAGTGTCGTGGTTTAACCCCAGTCGGCAGCCAAGCACCACACAGCCGCTCACTCGCTCCCCCCACCACCCTCCTCAGTGCGATGGGGGAGAGAGTCAGAAGAGCAAAAATAAGAAAACTTGTGGGTTGAGATAAGAACAGTTTAATACTTGAAATAAAATAAAATAATAAAAAAAATAATAATAATAATAATAATAATAATAAATTGTAATGAAATGGAAAACAGCCACAGAAAGGAACAAAACCCAGGAAAAACAAGTGATGCAACTGCTCACCACCTGCCGACCGATGCCCAGCCCTTCCCCGAGCAGCGATCGCTGCCCCTCGACCAACTCCCCCCAGCTTATATACTGAGCATGACATCCCATGGTATGGAATGTCCCTTTGGCCAGTTTGGGTCAGCTGTCCTGGCTATACTCCCTCTCAGCTTT